TAGTTAGTTTTTCAATGGAACTCTTCTGGAGTAATTATAAACATTAAATTTAAAAATTGAGGAAACATTATTTGGTGGCTGACCAGGAAGATATACACATTTGGAGAGTAAGGACCCTGGTAAGCCAAAATGTTATACTTCTGTAGTTTTATGTATGCTACTAGGAATAAGGCCCATTGTGGAAATAAATACAGTGAGCTCTAGAAAGAGGCTCTGGGCGGGTACTCTGGCTTTGGGCACTCAGCGTCAATTTGCTGTGGTGACCTCAGCAGGGTATAATGACACAGAGCTTACAGTTTTCTCCAGGGGAACTGATCTCTGCCATCTGGAGAGCAGTTGTAATTCTGAGTGATCTCCAGCCCTCACCTGAAGATTGCTAGCAATGGTTCCCTAGGAGGAAAAGTACAGTCTTTCTCCACAGTGGAGACCAAAACAGCTTACATCATTCTCCTCTCCCCTTTTGATCTGCACAACAACCCTGTGAGGTAGATTAGGTTGAAAGTCAGTGACTGGTCTGAAAACACCCACTCGACTTCCACAGCAAAAACCTGGGTCTGGCAGACCCTGCTCTGAAGTGCTGTCTGCTATGCTTAGGGTAGCCAACTTCCAGGTGGAGCCTGAAGATAGCCAGGTATCACAACTGAGCTTCAGACCACAGATCTCTCTCCTCCCGAAGAAAATAACTGCTTTGGAGGATTGACTCTATAACATTCTATTCAGCTGCAGCCTCTCCCCTCCCCAAACTCTGGCTTCTGTAGACTCCACTACAAAATCTTCAGGAATTTCCCAACCTGGAGCTGGCAACCCTAGTCAGGACTGGCCCCAATGAGTTCCCCACAAAGGCCAAAGGACCCTAGTCAGGACTGGCCCCAATGAGTTCCCCACAAAGGCCAAAGGAGGCCTGGAAAGGGCCTCCTGCCTTTGCCTTTTTACTAACAGAACCAAGCTTGGTTGCCTAACAGCAGCCACTGAGGGAAAAGTTAGCCCCATAGCAGGAGGAGCAGAGAATGGTTTGAATGGTGGCCCAACTCAGTAGCCAGCCTGCGGCAGAGGGGCCAAGTAGAAGTAGAAGTGTCTTTGTAAGGAGAGACAGCTGTTTTGGCAGTTTATTCTGTCAGGGACGAGTATCCAGGCTGGCAGTGGATGAGGGAGAGGATTGGACCCAGCACCCAGCCAGTGGCACGCGAGTACTCTTGAGTGGTGGTTCAATGGCTGATGGAGCGCACAACACACCCAATGGGAGAGCTGGAAAGTGCCAATACAAAGGTCAATTATATATATATATATAGGATGCATTTTTTAGAAGTGGTTAAGAGTGGCAGACTCTAATCTGGAAGAATTGGATTGGATTCCCCACTTCTCCACATGCAGCCAGCTGGGTGACCTTGGGTCAGTCACAGTTCTCTCAAAGCTGTTCTCTCAAGAACAGTTCTGTCAGAGCTCTCTCAGCCCCTCCTACCTCACAGGGTGTGTGTTGTGGGGAAAGGAGATTGTAAGCTGCTCTGAGACTCAGAGTGAAGGGTGAAGTATAAATCCAATCTCTTCTTCTTTTTCAACCATAAACTGTCAGATTTACAAGTAAAAACAAACAAAAATCCACTTCATGTTCACAGAATGTGGTCAAAAAAGGAGATTGTAAATCTCCTGGTTGATGGAAACAAAAACTAAGAACATCCATTTATTCCAGCCTACAGGAGGGCCATTGACTTTCTGCACTGTTGCCACTGTGTGTTGATAGCACAACTGTCAGCAGCAGCTGAGCCCACTCCATTTTGAAGGAGGGTCACATTCTCTGTGCCAGTGCAGGAATCTCACAGCACCCACCTTATCTAGCTGTTGGGCAATGGTGCAGAAAGCTGGATGCCACCAATCCACCATCATGTCTGGACCTGGCCAGTTTGGTGTAGTGGTTAAGTGTGCGGACTCTAATCTGGGAGAACCGGGTTTGATTCCCCACTCCTCCACTTGCACCTGCTGATGTGACCTTGGGTCAGTCACAAACTCTGGCACAGCAGTCCTTGACAAAGAGCAGTTTGTGTCAGAGTTCTCTCAGCCCCACCCACCTCATAGGGTGTCTGTTGTGGGGAGGGGAAGGGAAAGGAGTTTGTAAGCCGCTCTGAGACTCCAAGTGAAGGGCGGGGTATAAATCCAATCTCCTCTCCTCCTCCTCCTGGCGGGGTTTCCCCACTTTCTGGGGGCCCAATCTTCCGCCGCTCAGCTGGCCAGCAGGGAAGCCCCGCCCCTGAGCAGCCTCATCCACACCGACATGCCCGGTGTGATGATGCAGGGCACATTGCAGGGGGACACTCTAGCATTTGAGGAAAAACTCTATGGTAACCATAGTTTTTTTCCTCAAATGCTAGAGCGTCCCCCTGCAACATGCCTTGCACGATGACATAACTAAAGGCTCCAAGAAGAAGACAGGAGCCCCCACACACCGGAACACAGTAAGAACCTGGCAATCCTGCTGCCACATGAATACCCAAAAAACCCCACAAAGCCCCTTCTAGAAGCACATAAAGGTTACAAATGCAAACACATAAGAGGGGAGTCACCAGGAAGCATTGCTCCCTGGGGCTTTGGCTGGCCCAGAAGCATTTGGTGAGATCCCTGTCTATTTTCAGAGAAGAATTAAGAGCTATTTCAGCTGTTTCTACTCCAAAAACCTGGTTTGAATTCAGATTGATATGGGTCTAAACATCCAGTGGTTTCCAGTACCACCTGGACTCCTCCACAGTCTCCTTATGGTACCACTTATTTAGGACAAATCCAGTGTTGGTGTGAAAGTTTTTAAAAGTCCTGTGCTGACTGTAAAGACCTGGCATCCCAGGGCTTGTTGAATTTCTCTGTAATGGTCGGGGTGACCTCAACAACATCTCTGATATCTGACCAAAGAATTCACCATATAGTGAAGCAGTTGAAGCAACTGTGGGCTTTAAGTGTATGAGCTTCTTTGGCAGAAGTGTTAGATAAGAGGAGCTTTCATATTCCATAGGCTAAGAGGTCTGTCCAGAATTTTATCATTCTGCCTTCAACCTCTACTTGGGAAGTTTGAGCACAGCTGTTTTATCTAATAAGGGCTTGATGATATGCTAATGTAACAGTATTTACTGAAATGCAAAACTAGGCTTTTTCACAGATATGCCTTCAAGAAAAGGGGTGGACGTCATCTGTGGGAGAGACAGGATATAGATTTGAAAAATAAATAATAAATAAAATAAATCTTACATTCATCGACAAGTGACAATGATGTTCAATAATGATTTTTCTGTGCATAACTTTTTAAAAAGAGGACATCTTACATTCAGGGTTGTCTTCTTTTTGAGTAAGTATGGTAGTAACTGTATCATATGGCTCATGAATTGGTGGTGGAAAGTGCAATCAAGTTGCAGCCAATTTATGGCAACCTTGTGGGGTTTTCAAGGCAAAAGAGGAATGGAGGTGGTTTGCCATAACCTTCCTCTGCAAAGTAACCTTTGACTTTCTTGGAGATGTCGCATCCAAGTACTAACCAGGATCAATCCTGCTTAGCTTCCAAGATCTGATGATATTGGGCCAGGCAGGGGAGGGAGATTATTATATTTTATTTACCACCAGTCTTGCACTAAGCAGCAGTATCCACAGACTGGATTCCCACTGGTTGTAAATTTACTAAATGAATGAATGAAACACAGAGCTACAATCAGTACAATGTGGAAGACACAATACAGCTGTCCTTTGTCAGCTGTGCATTTTCATCCTGAGCCCTTGTGTTGTAAACATTAGATTCCATGTCAAAAATGAAGTCAAATGAGGAGGAAGTTCTTGTATTTTATTGTAATGAAATATGGAAAACAGTTAGGCCAAAGGACCCATCAAAACTGACTGCTTTCTTCTCAGCATAATCAGGAAACATGCCTCAATTAATAGGAAAACAATTAGACCAAATAGTTAACCAAAAATTGACAACTTTCTTCTTTTTCTTCTTCATCTTCTTCTTGAGCATATTCTGAACATATTCAGGAAATACATGATATTTTATACATGGACTGACATCATCATATCATCATCATGGGATGATGATATTCAAAAGGCATAATTGGTTACAAAAACTTAAACAATATTTACATAAAAATCTCCTTATTGGTCAAATGTAAGAAAGGTGTGTCTATGCAATGGCGTCACATATTTACTTGACATGACCTAAGGCATATCGGCTAAAGCTTGTTCGTTCCCAAACAAAAGTATTCATTACTGATGCGAGACTAAAATCTTATCTGACCCAGACATTGAAAGGTTTGCCCTAAGAACTACAGAATCATGAACTTTGTACCTATTATGTTGCTAACAATATCAGACCTACAAGAGAAAAGCCTTCTATATAACAGGCCTTTCTAACATCCTAATAAAATATTACTTAAAGAATAAATCTATAAAAACCAGAGAAATATGAATATGAACAATCAAGAAGAAGAAACCCATATATAAAAATCTTTATATTCCCATTCATACTACACCCTGGACCACCTCTGACAATTATCACATCACTTTCTTTCCCCTCCCCACTTACCATTAAGTTATCTCCCTGCAGTTAGCTCACATCAGGTGTGAGCAAAAGCTTTTAATAGAGAAGTAGCTTCAGTATACACTGTGCCCCAGGAAGAGATGGCAGATGTCTGTGTTCAACTTGAAATGTCTTACAGTACAGGACCAGAAACAGGATCTAATAGCAGAGAGTGTAATTGGATAGTTTTCTTAGTAGAGGTGGTCATTTAGGAAGGGTGGGCTTTTTTTTCTTCCCCCCCCCCCCCGGTATATATTAGAGGTATTTAGCCTACTTGAAGGCTCCTTCTGTCTGCTGCACTTAAAGTTGCCACACTGTGGTGCTGCAGGCTTTTTGGAATTTCTGCTGTATCAACTGTGAAAACTTTTCCTATGGCACATTAACTATTTGCAGATAAACATACATTCTATTTCTCAAATGTATTTTCTCTCTCGCTCTCTTTTTTTAAATTACACAGATAGTGCCCTTGTGGATTGCTCCCAATCTTTTAACCCTCACAGGATTTCTGATGATTTTGATTCATTATTTTATATTATCTATTTATGACTGGGACTACACGGCATCAGGTAACTATTGGTTTCTTATATCTTGATTGTTGTACTAACGTAACATAGCTAGGCAGCGGGAGGGATGCTCTCCATGTTCACAGTGGGCTGCAGTGACAATGCTGTGGATGGCAGAACTCCACTGTCACCGTTTAGACTACTCGAGGTACTAGTAACTAATGCTTTCCCCTTCCTAGTGATCCTCCAGAACCCCAAACTGTAGCTGAAGGCTCAGAGACCCACAGCAGAGCAAAGGTGTGAGGAAGCAGAGCAGCAGCTACTCAGACTCACCCCTGCACACAAAAAAGAAAACCTGGATTTAGAGTATTTCTAGATCTGTTGAGCTGCGGTGGCTCAAGTGTTTAAGATGCTGAACTGCAGGCTGTGGAAGGTCAGGAGTTCAGTGGTTCAAGACCCGGGTGCCGCAAGACAGGGTGAGCTCCTGTCTCTAGTTCCAGCTCCTGCCAACCTAGCAGTTCGAAAGCAAGAAATTGCTTAGATCTGTTGTATGTAACTGTGGTATCGCAATTCATCAGGAAGCCACTGCCACCAACTCTGGCTGGCGAGAAGAGAGCAAGCCAGTTGAAGGGTGCTGGTCAGGCCACACCTATAGGTCAGGGGCTATGGAGGCTGCAAAAGGAGAAGAGAGAAACCATCAGACAACCTGGACAATATAAAGGGTTTGGTCAGAGAAGGGCTGCCAATGGCAGGGCTGTTGGGGTGGGTACGGCCCTAGCTGTGAAGGGTGTGAAAGGAGTACAGATGAGGACAGAGAGAGATAACAGGAGGGAGAAGGAGCTGGAAAAAAGGAAGAAGCTAAGCCAGGAATGAAGGGAGGCAGAAGAGAAAGGAGAAGGTCTTCTCTGGAAGAGTGGGGAGACCTTGGCTTTTATTTCTCCCAGGGAGCAACAAATTTGTTTATAAATGTATATGTCGCACTTGACTTGACAGCGTCTGTTTCTTGAAAGATGCCATTTCATTGAGTTTTGGGGGATATTTATTTATTTATTTGGGTTTTTTAGCTGCTGCTCACCCAAAGGGTCTCGCAGCCACTTATTACATTAAAACTATATAAATAAGGTAAAAATAACGTAAAACAGATAACAAACATAAAATATTAAAATTAAAACATTAAACGATATAAGTATATGGCTTGCACCATATCACTTTAAAAAAAAAGTAGATTACTCCCAAAAGGCCAGCCTAAATAATTCGGCCTTGCATGCCCTGTGGAAACTAAAGTTTGGCAGGGCATGGGTGTCATCTGAAAGTGCATTCCACAGGGTAGGGGGCACAACTGAGAAGCCTCTTTCCCAGATGACAACTAACAGAGCCATCCTCGCGCTGGGCACCTGCCAGAGGCCCCTAGAGGATGGCTGAAGGGAGCATGGGGGGTTGTAACGGGAGAGACAGTCCCATAGGTATGACAGTCCTAGACCATTAAGGACTTTAAAGGTTAACACCAGCATCTTGAATTGGATCTGGAGACTAATTGGTAGTCAGTGCAGCTGCTGCAGAATTTGAGCAATTTGAGCTGACCATGATGTTCCTGCCAGCGATATTCTGGACCACCTACAGTCTCTGAAGTGTTTTCAAGGATAGCTGTATGTAGATCGAATTGCAGTAGTCCAATCTGCAGGTGACCGTTGCCTGGATCAATGTGGCAAGGTCCAACCCAGGCAAATGAGCCAGTTGGTGTAGGTAAAATGGGCACTTGTTTATTCAATGATAGTGCAGTATCCAACCATACCCTGAGGCTCTTTACAGAGTCTACAGCTGTCAGCTGGACACCATCGAGTCTTGGGAGTGACCCTCCAGCCAGTATATCAGTCTTTCCCAGCCACATGACCTCCGTCTTGGATGGATTCAACTTCAGCCAGCTCCCCCTTAACCACTGGACTACCATATCCAGACATTGGGATAGTGCCAAAAGCCCTGCCACTGGCTGCTTATCCAGCAGGAGGAAGAGCTAAGTGACATCAGCATATTGATGGCACCCAACTTCAGACCTCTAGATGAACTTGGCAAGAAGGTGCCTATATATGTTAAATAACATCAGAGAGAAGATGGACCCCAGTGTTGAGGTCTCAACGGGAAGGACTCTCCTCCTCGATAGCAACCCTCTGAGAATGTCCCTAGAGGAACGAGAAGAACCAACTAATGTGCAAACATAATTGATGGGTAGATCTCTAGCAGGCCTAAAAATGGGGCAGGTAGTCCCAGCCCCATTTTCTCGCTGCATGTAACTGCCAGTGCACTTGGGGGGAAAACATTGAAATGTCGCCCTGTGTGTAAAGATGCATGTAGTGTAGAGGTCAGAGTGTTGGATTAGGATCTGGGAGACCCAGGTTCAAATCCCCACTCTGTCATGGGAACCTTTATGGTTAACTTTGGGCCAGTCATAGCCACTCAGCCTAACTTCCCTCCCAGGGGTGTTGTAAGAATAAAATGGAGGAGAGGAGAGTGGTGTAAACTACTTTGGGTCCACACTGGGGAGAAAGGCAGGGTATAAACAAAGTGAATGAATGAATAAATATCCTTAAATTTCGAGTTTTCACTAAACTGTAACACAGCTTTACAGATTGTGATTCCAAGACTTTTGTTCTATGTCTGAGTTGTGCTTGGGGATAACATCAGGTGCTTGATGATAATTCTCAGTGTGAAGACTTCATGCACACAGACTTAAGGGCACTGTTCACTAGGAGGGAAGGTGGTTTAAGCGCTTGTTGAGCCTTCATATGATCTGCTCTCCTACCTATGTGTGAAGTGACTCCAAGCACTGAGAGCTGCCTCCTAGTGGTGAGAACTCTCAACTACAGATTTGGGGTTTTTCCTTTCCAAGAGGTGCACATAGTAGAACATAGCTGGGGGGGGGGGGAGCCCAGCAGTCATCTCCATTCGCCTCTAGTGACTCTACCTCATATTGAGTTGTGAACAGTGTTCCCTCTAAGCTGGGTTAGTGTGAGCTAGCTCACAGTTTTTTAGCCTCCAGCTCCCACATTTTTGTCCTAGCTCAGGAAGGAGGGCTCCAGTGCAAACTAATTGATGCAGCAGCCAAATCACCTGCTCACAACTTCAATGCCAGTAGCTCACAAAGTAGAAATTTTGCGCACAGGACTCCACAGCTTAGAGGGAACATTGGTTGTGAATGGAAATTTTTGCAGTTGAGGCATCAGTTATAGTTGCAAGTTAAAAAAACAGAACAAAACAAAAAAAGGAATCCAGTGGCACCTTGAAGACTAACAACGTTTATTCCAGCATAAACTTTTGTGAGTTGGAATCAGTTTTGTGACTCGCTTCATCAGATGCACAATCACATGCAGGCTGTGGACAGAAACTGACTCGAGTATTCCTGTACACCTTGAGAGCTGTACTGTGATACTGGCAATGCTTGGAGACATAAGCGGACAGTGACATGATTGGGGGGGGTGGGTTTTGAAAGTAATATTCAAAAGGCAAGTGATATAGACATGATAAGAGGTCAAATGAAAAGTAGTAATTAAATTATGGTCTATTGCAGAACAGTGAAGGAATGATTGTGGTCTGGCATTGTAGTAGTTCATGGGATATTTTAGAGCTGCTTCATGTTTTGGCCGTTTCTTATACAGAAATCAAATTTGTCTTAATAAAATAATTCCAGCATATATTTTGTAGCATGTGCCATTCCTACATGTGTGTAAATAACATGTGCATCTGGTATAGCTGTCAAAAAAGCCACAGTAAATTGCTGCTTTCCAGAGCATCACATAATGTTACATAATTGTTTTGTGGTAAACTGCACATGGGAATTATGCTATTTCCCACATGGAAGTAAACTCTACATATGAAAGTGGTAACATGTGCTACGGCCCTCAGTCACTTAGATCAAACTGGAGTACGTGATTTTTCTTAATGATATGCACATGAAACTACTTGATCATGATCCTTACTCCAGAGCTCAAGACAGTTTCTCATATAATTATCATATAATTTTGCTTTTTATTTCATAAAGCCTCTCAGTAAAAGTAGGAAGCTATGGAGAGTTTGTTAGTTGTTGTAGAGTTTCCAGGCTGTATGGCCATGGTCTTGGCATTGTAGGACCTGACGTTTCACCAGCAGCTGTGACTGGCATCCTCAGAGGTATAACACAGAAAGATGGAGTACTCTCTGTGTCAAGGTGAGAAGAAAAATGGTAGGCAGCTAGTTTATCTCTACTCAGGAAGTTGGGGTAGGACTAAGTAATTATCTTGTAGGAGTTCCCCAGGCTGTGTCATGCTAATGGAGGAGCTATCCTGAGGAGGTTATTTTGCATATGGATTGGCTGTTGAAATTCTATTCTTATCTGTAGTGCTATTGTAAGATGTAGAGCGTTTTGTGTTTTTCAGGACAGGAAACCATGCCCTATTTATTTTTAAACTCTCTTCTTTCCTGTTGAAATTGTGTTTATGTTTATGAATTTCAATGGCTTCCCTGTGTAATCTGGTAATTGGATGTGTTGTCCAGCCTTTCAGTGTCTTGGAACAGGAAAGAAGAGAGTTTAAAAATAAATAGAGCATGGTTTCCAGTACAGTTTCACATGCAGAACTCACATTACTAGATGGACTTCCATATTTTAAAAGTCACTCTCTGCACACAGTATGTCACAGAGAAGGCTAAGCTAAAAGTTTTCTATTTCTTTCTCTTTTTGTACAGAGGAATTTTTTAATGTAGGAGCAGTCAGTCTTATTCCCCCCCCCCCCGCACACACACAGTCTGAAGTGGTCCTACACTGCCGCTGAGAGACCTCCTCAGTGAGCACAAGATCTGTGGCACAATGAAGATCTAAGTTTGATAAACTCTGAATTTAAATAAATGGCAGAATATATACCATAGCTTCAAAACAGATAGATATATATTTCTATATATTAGTATATAGTATATCTATATATTAGTATACAGGTTTTAAGATATGTGCCTTAAAATGTGGTATCAGAAACAATATTGAAGCCTGTATTATTTAATGATATGCTAATGTTGGCACACTTGTATTATACACATTTCTGTCACTAAACTGTTATATTTTCATTTTGTTTTGGGCAGGATCCAGTCCTGGGTTGATTCCGACATGGGTCTGGGGTTTTGGTGCTTTTGCCAGCTTTTTGGCTTACACTTTAGGTAAAGTATGGTGAGAAAACTTGCACAGCCAAGTATATAGATATTTCTACTCAAGCCCTGTGCAGGTGTAAGACTACCTGAGACTAAGAGATCAGAATGGGCCTGTGAATTTAATCAGAGTTCTGAAAGATTATTGGGGAATCAATGCATTTATTTTAACCAGAGTAACCAGTGGCAGATGTTAACACAAAGTGCAGGGAAATTTATTTATTATAGCAGGGAAGTTTATTTATTACAGCAGGGTAATTTATTATGGGAGGGACTGCATGATTGCTCAGTCTGCTGATCCCTTAATTCAGGTAACGTTACATCTGCACTGAGTCTGGTAGTTAAGTAATCTTTTGCAGTTCATAGAGACACAAATGGATCACGGCTTGGGAGGTAATTGTGGGCAGGATCACTAGGACATTTTGGCCAAAAGGTCTGGGCAGAATTCAGGGCAAGGCAAAGAATAACAAACAGCAGATAGCTTAGGGGTGCAGAGCACACTATGATGCACAGCCAGGACGCTACAAACCTGAACTATTGTCCAGCCTCAGTGAAAATGTTGAAGTAGAACGTATGCAGCAATTTGCACACAGATAACAAGAATCAAAGGCAGAAACAGAAGATAAAAAATTAAATAAAAATAAAATGCTGTGTTTTTAATAATTTCTTAAAGTGGGACCAAGCGGAAACCAGGTGGACATGCAGGGGTCATTTCGTAGAAAAAGTGCTGCAGGAGCTCATTAGCATATAATAGCTCATTAGCATATGCCACACACCCTGAAATCACCAGAAGTGATGTCAGACGGGAAAGCAAAGGGGGGGGGGGGGGCATCTTCAAAAGCCTCCACTCCCCTTCCCCACCCGCCTTCCGGGGGGGGGGGGGGGG